TTGTGAAATTTTGTTAATATTTCTTTTAGAAAATAAGAAAGGGGTAAATAAAAAACACAATTTGTTATATAAAATATTACATGATAGGGTTTATATAAAACATGGAACATTATAAATATTCGTGTACACTTTCTTTTGACTCTCACTGTTTATTCGTGCATTTCGTTATTTTTTCTTATAAAAAAGAGTTTAACATTAGACAGAGGAAACGGAAATTTAGATATGCAATAGTGGCTCTATTAAAAGTAAACACAAAATATAGAAAAAGTTATATATATATGTTTATAATAAAAAAAATCATATATCACCAAAGATTGAAACAAAAATTCATATCTGCAACATTAACGCGATTATCTCGTCATTATACCCTTCACCACACTGTGGTACAGGGTATTATGTCTTTGTGCATATGTTTGTAACAGGCAAAAGGAAACGAGATAGACACATGGTTCCTTTTGAGAATATGCATAGAATCACTTTCTAAGTCGATTTATGCATGTCCGTTCGTCCGTCTGTCTGTCTGTGCATGTTAAATTGTAAACAAAGTACAGGTCGCATTTATGATCCGAATTGGATGAAATTTGGCATAGGTCACTTATTCGGCCCAACGACGAACCCTATTGAAATTGGGAAAAATCGGTTCAGATTTAGATATAGCTCCCATATATATATTTAACCGATTTAATGTAAACGGTCCCTATATATATTTCGATTTGCACGAAATTTGGTACAGCCTAATCATTTAGGTCTATAATTATGTCTGCCAAGTTTCGTGAAAATCGGTCCAGATTTAGATATAGCTCCCATATATAGTTTCGTCCGATTTCATGTAAATTGGTGCACCAAAGTTCCTATATATACTTCGATTTGCACGAAATTTGGCATAACGTACTGAATTGAGTCTAGAATGATATCTGCCAAGTTTCATGAAAATCGGTCCAGATTTAGATATAGCTCCCATATATAGTTTCGTCTGATTTCATGTAAATGGTGCATCAAAGTCCCTATATATCTTTCGATATGCACGAAATTTGACTTAACGTACTGAATTGAGCCTAGAATGATGTCTGCCAAGTTTCGAAAAAATCGGTCCAGATTTAGATATAGCTCCCATATATAGTTCCGTCCGATTTCATGTAAATGGTGCCCCAAAGTCCCTATATATCTTTCGATTTGCACAAAATTTGGTATAACGTACTAAATTGAGCCTAGAATGATGTGTGCCAAGTTTCGAGAAAATCGGTCCAGATTTAGATATAGCTCCCATGTATAGTTTCGTCCGATTTCATGTAAAGGGTGCACCAAAGTCTCTATATATCCTTCGATTTGCACGGAATTTGACATAACTATAACGATTTAGATATAGCTCCCTTTTATTATAGATTGATTTTAAGTAATTGACGCGACAAGGAACCAATAAGCTGATAGGAACAAAACGTATTGAAATTAATATAACCTAATCTGTGACAAGTTTGTTTGAAATCGCTTAATATTTGGATAGAGCTTCCATATATATATTCGCCCGATTTCAAGTAAATTGGGCATCAAACTCCTCATGTTAGTCAGATTGACATAAAATTCTGCACTACGTACAAAATTGAGCATAGAATTGCGTAGCTGCGTTTTATAGAAGTACAGACATATCCCAACGGATGACCTATTTATATTTGTTTGAAGTCGATTCACATACTTTTGTCCCATTGTAACAAATGACATGTTTATGGATAGATCTAGGTAGATTCGCATTTAGATAAATATCACATATTTTATTTCTTCCAATTTCATGTTAATAGTCTTGTTTAATATACCCATAGTGGTGAAGGGTATCATATAGTCGGTCCCGTCCGACTTTACTACTTTCCTTACTGTTTTTTTTTTTTGTGTTTTTTTCTCTTTTATATATTTTGTCCCATTTACTTTTGAAACAAAACTTGATCCACAAAAATAACACTCAGAAGAATATTTGCAAATTCTGTACCAATTAATGATTTAAATAATTAGTTATTATTAATATTTAAATAATTAGTTATTTTTCGAAAGATTTGTTTCTCAATTCCTTTCAATGCACCTTCGTATGTTGTTAGTGAGCACTATAACCTAAAAAGAAAAAAAAAATAACCTTTGATTATATGAGAGCTTTATAAATTAGGGCGAAATGAATAGTTACCTATCAGAGAATGACAAAGAACATCGAACGTTACAACGACAAATTTGATAGGTTAGCTGATAAAATCCAAAGAGATGACCAAGAAACTAGCTAACAATGTAATTAAGTTAATATCCTCAGCAAATAAAAAAAATATCGAGACTTTTACTTACTTGAGAGAAAAAGATAAAGTTAGATAAAAAAAAACAAAACAAAAAAATATATGAAAACGGCTGGACAATTGGTAATTACCACAAGTCCAAGTTAATTTTATCAAAAAATATATTTTCCTTACCGCGAAATACTTTTATGGAGGTTTTAGAACACTTTGTATGTTGATCACTCGTCTCTCTGATATCCAAATGACCGAGAAATTTGTTAAGCGCTTAGAAGAAGTCTCGGTAACACTTCAAGCTAACGCTTTACTCGCAGATGTTAAATGTCAAATAACCAATAGATATGTTTTTATCCACACAGACGAACCCCAAATACAGCGGTCACTTGCAAATAAAACGGTTACGGTGTTTGAATCGGTTTCCGAAATTAAAGAAGAAAAAGAGGACAAGCCCCATTACAAGTAAACTTGATACACGTTATTCGGTGTGCTGCACTGTTCAATATTTTATCTGAATTATACACCCCTTAGAAATATATATGGAAGCTATATCTAAATCTGAAACGATTTCCACGAAACTTAGCGCACATCATTCTAGTCTCGATTCAGTACGCTATGCCCAATTTGGAGCAAATCGAAAGATATATAAGGACGTTAGAGAACCATTAATATTAAATCGGACGAAAATATATACGAAACTTAACACACATCATTCCAGACTGAATTCAGAACGCCATACTAAATTTCGTAGAAATCGAAAGTTATATAGGGACTTTGGTATATTATTAAGATAAAATCGTACTAAAATATATATGGGAACTATATCTAAATCTGAATCGTTTTTCCCAGTTTCAATAGGGTTCGTCCTTGTGACAAATAAATGAGCCGTGCCAAATTTCATTCAATTCGGATTATAATTGCGAACTGTACCTAGTTTGCAATTTAACATGGACAGGCGGGCGGACGGACATACATAAATCGACTCAGAAATCAATTCTATGCTTATTTCCAAGAGGAACCACGTGTCTATTTCGTTTACTTTTGCCTGCTACAAACATATGCACAAAGCCATAATACCCTGTAGCACAGTGCAGTGAAGGGTATAAATATTTCCAGGCGCGTCGGTCTTCTGAAATCTTTGGTAGAATTTTTCTCTCAAACACTCCAGGAGCTGTCTCATTTGCTTGCGCAAGTACCCATGCTTCTGATCCATACACCAGGACAAGTAGTATCAGCGTCTTGTAGAGTGTGAGTTTGGTCTGGCGAGAGGTGGCCTTGTTTCTAAATTGCTTACTTAGACTCTAGTAGAATCTGTGGGACAAAATGTCATTAGTTTTATGACATATAGTGGGTCCGATTCTACAGGACGTCTTGCGCGTTGATATCACCTACTTTGGCAGACTCCTTCTCAATTTGTTTTAAGGTGGATGTAACCGCTCGCAATGTTCGACTCATTATATTGATGTCATCGGCGTAGGCGAGGAACGTATGTTGTTTGGTGTATTAAAATTTGCCTCTCGTATGACCTTTTCCAACAGGATGTTAAAAAGGTCACATGAGAGACTGCCACCTTGTATGAACCCTCGTTCGGCATTGAAAGGCGACTTTAACTTCTGACCTTGTGCCAATTGAGGAAAGCCGAACGCAGACATGATTTTGGTGGAATGTGTCGATGTGTTTTTCGTGGATCTTTTCCATGATTTGGCGCAAAGTGAAAATCTGGTCAATGAAGCATTTGCCAGCTCTGAAGCCGCATTGGTATGGTCCAATAATGGTCTGGTATGGTCTAAGTCTGCAAATTATCGGACAAATTGATTTTAACATTCTGCATCAAGGTCACCCTCATCATATAAATATATGGTTGGGTGTCATGTCGATGCTGGAGGAGGAAGGCGGAATATTAGTGTCGCCAACCTGTAAAGCACTTCACCCTTGTTCCTCTCCGTTTCTTCTCAAATTAGATAGGAATTCTCCATTTCCTCATGTGAAGTCTCTCGTTCTCCTTTTCGACAAACTTCTGTGATTTTTGCAGTCGTGACGGCCGTCAGCTTACTGCCCTCCCAAAGGAGGCAAATGTCGTTAATCTTAACCCATTTGTACCTGGACTGAAACGTCATTTAGGAATACGACTGGCAATCAATAACCTACACGGATGTACCTATAGGGATCAACTGGATCAATGAATGATACTCGTATGTCTTCAGCAGCCCCTGATTAAGCAATAGGTTTGACGTTCTCCCTCTCTTCGGTACCTCTCTGGTAGATCTCTTTGTCGGAAACTTCTTTGGCATTGGCTGAGAATGCATAGTACTTTCTTGAGTGAGGATTTGGAGTCGACCACGGGTTAGCATTTTACCCTGGCAACGACTTAACAACTAAGCCTGAATTACTCGTCAAGGCGCCATGGTATCGATAAGATTCCGTTCGTTAATACCCCGTTTATATTCCATTTCATTGTACTATTAAAACACAAAGATTTTTTTACATAAATAACAATTTCAAAATATTCCATTTTATTATTTAAATAAACATCATTTTATTTGTTATTCAAGACAAGAAAAGGGCCTTACCATATAAATTATAAAGCATTCAATTTTTTTGTGTTGTAATAAAAAAAAAACCAACATAATAAAAACAAACTTTGGACATAACTAGAAAGAAGGAATTTGCAGGTGCTAGCAACCATTTTATGGTTACTCCAGTGGGATTTGTGTGTGTCCATTTGTATTTGAGAATAGAGTGTATGTTGAGAATTTTTAAGATTTATTATAGTTTAAGCCCAATATACTGCGAGCCTGTAATAAAAGAGAAAATTAATACATTAATATTATTTCATTATATTTCATAATGACAAAATTTGTAGCATACTTTTAGGCTGCATGTTTGACAAAAGATATGCATTACAATTATTATATTTTGGAAATCGTATAAAACAATTTAATATATACGTTTCCGATATGTATTATATTCCTTGTGAGTAGTTTCTACTTGACAAATGTCAAAGAAAAAATAACCCGCTAACACTACTGAAAAAATCTTCCAAATTGTGAACCTCTTGCTGGATATGACAGTTAACATCCAGATGGATTCTTAAATATTTCCCACTCAAACTCCAATGCAATGAAAAATCAATGAGTATTTCAAGTGGATTATTGTAAACTCAGGGTTGGTATGTTTTGAAAGTGGTACCTCCAAACAAGTTTAATACCAAAATACCGGTGCATCTTGACTTAAGACACATTTAATTACATTCGTCTGAAAATCATCATAATAGTTACGGAGCATAAATGAATATAGCATCTGAATTGTTTCTACATTTGAACCGGTACGAATAAACTGTAAATAACGTTTCTATTATGGTCGAACACACCACAAGGAGACGAGAGAACCTTAGTAACGTCTAGACATAGTCGGCTCTTTGCTTCAACAATTGGATAAAACACCCCCATTTCTCCCTCCATACTATAAGGTATTATTGATCGGTACACATAAAAGGTGAGGACTAAACAGAACGTGCCTTAAGACAATGTTAGTAGCGTTTGATCTATCAAAAACATTTGTTAACGTCAAACACGCACCCTCTTGAGGAGAATAATAATAAAAATTATCCAATTCTAACCAAATTTATATGTGAACGCCACTCGGATATGGGTTCCGGTACAAGAGGGCCAACTCTCGTAGAGTAAATCAGGAAGTTTCCTGTGATATCTCTATATATCCAAGCTCTATAGGCGCCACAGAGATGATTACACGACCATAACGTCGGAAACTATCGTTGGAGACATAGTGTATAAAAGCTTAACCACCTATCTCATCAGTTTCGATTTCAATTTTCCATACAAAGAATTTGAAAATTTCTCGCAGGACGACAAAGGCCTGCAAAGATATGGAGTCAACCCTGCGAAGACAGAACTGATACAATTTGCCAAAAGGCGCAAAATTCCAACATGTTCTCTACCTAAAATAGATTGCGTAGCTTTGGAACTCATTTTGGAGCTAAAAAACTTTGGCACCATCCTGGAGCATCGATTATCTTGTAAAAGGAACGTAGAGGAGCGTACACAAAGAAATGTGTAATAGCACTGTACTCTTGCAACAACTCTATAGGGAAGAGGTGGGGACTGTCACCGCTTATCGTACATTGGGTTTACGATGCAGTCATATTTCCCATTATTACTTATGGATGTCTTGCCTGTTCGGAGGCACTGAGGCAACAAACAATATATTCGGAGCGCATTGAATCACTCCCTCAGGCTGCTCTGAAGGGGATAATAAATCTTCAGCCACTTGATGTATTAAATCATTTTCAGACAATCAGAAGCGAATTTAAGATGAAGGATATAGGGACTTGGCGATCTCCACACTACAGACACGCAAATGTTCTGAGCTCAATAGGAAATTATGAACTCTGTCACAATAGAAACTCAAGCGACTATATTTCCCCAACACTTATTTTGAGGAATCTAAAATAAAAATACCAAGCAGAGAGTCCTGGGCGGGTGAGCTTCCTGCCCTTGACGATCTGTCGATATATACAAATGGTTCAAAATATGGAGGAAGGCACAGGTGCGGGAGTTTTCTGTACCTGTGATTATATTTGTCGATAGTCAAGCGGCACTTAAAGCAATCAATTTGTTGACCATAATTCCTAAGGTAGTTCTGCTGGATATACGGCATTTTGTTAAATTTTGTTGGGTGCCAGGACATAGGAGAAAGTGAATGTAGCTAATGAGATTGCTCGATGTGGATCGATTGTCAATCGATTTAACAATTGATGTCACTGTTAGACAGACCTCCACTTTGCTATTTGTTGGCAAAATCAGCATGTTTTACGAGGATGAAGTAAAACCACGATGGTAGATTAATGGTTTAGATATTCGCTATAGCCGCGCATCCTCTAACCTAACCCATTATAATACAATAGACCGGTCAGTGGTAAACTATGCGGCGCCAGTCTGATTTCCTACTGCAAGTCCAACTCTCTTTGCACCTTTTCAATTGCCTAGCTAAGCTAATGGTATGTCTCTCAATTCGCTATGTAAGCAGTCAATGCTTCGCTGTGTAACTCTTAGGGTGTCGCCAGCATCATATTTATAAATAATTTTGTATTTCAGTTGCTAGAACAAAACCCCGGCATATTTAACCCATTCTAATCCTAAATTGCTATACATGCATTCTCACAATGTATTTATAGCAATATCGATATTATAATGGAAAAATTGGGTATTATTGCAGGTTCTCGAACAGACATATTAAGTTATTAACATGAAATGCTACTGCCAACAAAAGCAATAAATTATTTTTTTTTTTTAATACAAAAACTTACTGTTATAAAAGCCGATTTTAAAGATCTCTGAACACCAGATGTTGTCCCACCAATATTCATAAGTGTCATTTGTAATTGTACAGCATCGTCCATACGATTTGCCAAGAATTCCCATGTTTTGCTATGATCCGGCGAGTGATCTTGCAGCATATATAATTCTGTCATTTTCATTATACTTGCCAGACCAATGCGGCGGGTATACCAACCAATCTGTGAAAATAATAAATTTTAAATTAAAGAAATAAAAATAAATATAAGTTTATCACACTCACATCCACTGAACGATCTCCCGAGTAATAGCAAATATCATCGACTAGTGTCAAAACCTGAGCCAAAGCTGTTGAGGCATTTTGTGGCAATGCTATTAAGGCCAACGCCTGCGGCCATTGACCCTTATAGGGTGCCATCATCTCAAGACGCAGTCGTACAAAACGTACCAAAAACTCAAGCGGATTGTTAATTTCCTTTTTGCCATCATCCGTTTCTTTCTTGAGGATCTTCAGTAATTCTTCATTGCATTTACCATTAAAATAGGATACCAAATCGAAACCACCCTGTGGGAACATACCATGTACCACGCTGGGATAGCCAACATCTTCGGCACCTTGTACAATGGCATTACGGGTCCAGCCCAATGTGGGAACATGTTGTAACGCAGCCTCTAAGATTTTTACACGTACAGCTTCAGCTTTAGCATCTCTTTCGTTTTCCTCCTCTTGACTTTTAGCCTGTTCTTGTTGTTCGTATTCAGCTTCACGTTTCTCTTCTCTGGCACGGAATTCGTCAATAGTTTGTGTCGTTTTTGTGCAAAATGTTCTTCTATTCGCAGTGTTGATGTTGTGATGCCTGGCATTATTGTTGGAGAGTGCTAGTGAACAGCGACCAATTGAATATTTTGAACTATCGCCAATCTCGATGTGGTTCCAACAATGTTGTTGAGACTGTGTTGTTTCAATAGTTTGGGAAACTTGCTGTTCGAAATTTTGACAATTACTGGCCATAATTGGCGAGGTGATTAGGTTACGACAGGCAACATGGCATAAGTTTATATCTAAAAGAAAGGGAATTAAATATCATGCATTAATAAAATTAGAATTAATTGTATTTACATTGCATTGAGCGGTCGTGTGGTATGGGCAGAATCTACTCACTGGTAGGAGAAAAAACTCGGGAATTTTTTGGTGGCTCTGATAAAGCTAGGCTTACATGCCTGTCGTCATTACTTATATTTGGGTGTTGGACCCATCCAACCAGTATACGATTAATGGAAAAATTAAACGGGCGAGGGAAAATTAAAACATGCAAGGGGTTTTTTTTATTAGAATCGTAACACTACAGTTATAAGTGAATGTTTTCCTTATCAGTGTAATATTTTTACACGACGCCTTTAGTAAAGAGGTCACAAAAAGGTTATCTTTTTAAGTAAAAATTGCACCTATTATTTTTAAAGTTCATATTTTTGCAATCAATTACATTATTTTTACCAAAAAATCTAAAAATATTTAAATTATCCCTAAATATAGAAAAATTTGAACCGAACTTTGGATACCCCCCACCATAGGTATACTGATAGTTACTTGAAATGAATATATACTGATAGTTACTTGAAATGAATATATAGGGGACATACCAAAAAATATACCTATACCAACAATTGTATCAAACAATTGTAGTAATCCACAATGTGCACCAAATACAAATTTCTGTAATATTTAATTGTAATTTTTATACCCTTCACCACACTCTTGTAACAAGCAAAAGGAATCGAGATAGACCCATGGTTCCTCTTGAGAATATGCATAAAATCACTTTCTGAGTCGATTTATGCATGTCCGTCTATCCGTCCATGTATTTTTGTAAACAAAGTGTAGGTCGCATTTATGATCCGATTTGGATAAAATTTGGTACATGTCACTTATTTGGCCCAAGGACGAACCCTATTGAAATTGGAGAAAATTGGATCAGATTTAAATGGTGCAACAAACTCCCAATATTTGTCCGATTGAGACAACATTTTGCATAGAGTACTGAATTAGGTCTACATTGATACATGACAAGTTTTCTTGAAATCGGTTCAGATATATATATGCTCACATATATAGTTTCGTCTGATTTTATGAAAATGGAGCACCATACTGCCCACAGTTGTCCGATTGAGACAAAATTTTGCACAGAGTATAGAATTGGGCTCAGATTAATTTTTGCGAAGTTTTTTTTTAAATCGGCTAAGATTTATATATAGCTCTCATATATAGTTTCGTCCGATTTTAGGCAAATGTTGCACCAAACTCCCAATATTTGTCCGATTGATGTATGCCAAGCTTTGTTGGAATCGGTTCAGATTTAGATATAGCTCCCCTATATATGGGGAGCTATATCGTCTGATTTTATGAAAATGAAACAGCAAAGAGTCAAATTTAGGCCGATTGGCACAACATTTTGCACAGCGTACTGAAGTAGGTCCACTATATGAGAATAAGACCAAAACGCGGAAAAAATCAGATGACAATTTTAATAAAAATTCGGTTGAAAAACGCGTTCTAGAACCTCAAAATACCGAAAATTGGGGGTACTCTTATTTGGGGGCTATGCTTTAACGTGGACCGATATAGCCCATTTTCGATCTCGACCTGCCTGCAGACAAATGGCTAGCGTTACAACTGATTACTTATGAACCGATCTTTTCCCAACATGAAGATTATATTTAACCAATTGTTAATATCTTTCAACTCTACAATACCTAATACTAATTTTCCTTATTAATAGTTTACATTGTAATTAAAAGATTTCGCAACTTAAGCTTTAGAATAAAAAATAACATTTATTATTTTATTTATTATGACATCTTTTACGTATTTGAAGCATCATTAGTAGTAGTAGTCTTTCCATCCTTGGGAGCATTATCAAAACACTCACAAACCCGCCCCAACAAACTTCGTATCAAATCGAATGTACACAGGTTTTGATTGAGCAATTCGATCTTTTTGTCACGACTCAGCTGCAAATCCAGACCAGCACCAGTGCTATCATTTTCCACAGCAACATCGAGCATTTTCAATTGTTCCATATCGATGGGTGTATCACGTCCTTCCTGGACCTTTTTCAATTCCCCCTTGTAGTGGGCTTCGGATAAATTTAAACCCTTACGCAATGGTATCAAATAGTTATCTTCAATATCCTTTGCGAATGACCAAAAACCAGTACGATTTTCAGCATCTTTCAATGCAAAGAAACGCAGCGCATTCAGAGTGGAAATAATTTTATCGGAATTTTCAATTAAATCTGTTTCAACACCCTGGGGCAGTTTACATATGTTCTGCAGAAATATCGTACGAAAATCTTGTCCAGCAAATGATGTGGGTAGGGGTGATGATGCTTTCAATGCTTCGGCAACCAAGTCCTTGTACATGGTACCCAAATAACCACACAGACCTTGATGATTGACAGTGGCCATTAGATTTTTTAAAATCAAATATTTTCCCTCATCATCGAATGACAGGATATATTGGTGTAGCACCTTAATGCCATTTTGTCGAATATGGGTCTGTGATGAAAAGCCCACTAAATGGCATAGCGACTTACAAAATACTTTGTGGATTTCCAAATCTAAATCAGAGGAAGGTATTTTTCTATTAGCCAAGTTTTGGAGCGATTTCTCCACCAGCTTCAGGGCTTTATCGTGTAAGGCAGGGAATTTTTCCTTGAGCAATTCTTGGGCCAAATAAATGCTCATTTCACAGACATACATGGGATTGTAGACTCGAGGTACATGTGCGGCACCAATTCCCTCGGCAATAACTAAATAATAGAAAATGGCCAAATTTTCCAGAGGCATTTCATCTTCGCTGAGAAATATATTCCCTTTCTTATTTTCAATGAGTCCATCATGCTCCTTAGCATTTAATTTCCACCGCGCCTTTGTCTCTACAAAGGAGAGGAAAAAGTAAGGATCGGGAACACATTTAATAACACCCTGTACCAGGGAACGGGCACATTGCAGCGAATAGGTGTTCGTCTTGCTCTCCACTTGATTGCTTAAATCGAGCAGAGAGAAGGGATTACCCATGACATCGATCAGAAAGCAACACATTATATTACGTCTATTGTTGGTGGCTTGGCAATTACGAAATATCTCATTTTCAAGACGAGGCTTGGAACAGATATCGGCAATTAGGGGCTGATAAAATAAATCCAAGGTGATGTAGTGCATTAGAATGTTTTGTACATCTTCATCCTGCTCGAGTAAATGTTTTTCCTTTTCATCATAGCCAACATATAAGTATTCTGGTTCGGGTAACATGGCCAAACGAGTCCAAATCGATTGGAGAGCCCATTGCAATGACATTGATTTACGATCACCAAGCCGTAGCAAAACCACTTGCATTGCACGCAAGGCCGAATTGAAGACCCGCTCAAACATATTCTCCTCCACCAGTTCCAGTAATTCCAATAACAGCGATTCTGGTGGAGCATTGGCTGCCATTGTTTTCAACAATTCCTCGGCACACACAAACAGCTCGGGATCCTGCTGATACACTTCCTCCGTCAGATAATCTTTACACACCTCATTGTATAAATCGATGGAAATTTCTCGCAACAAGGCCACATTTCTGGGTGCCTCATTAGCTGTGGTAAATAGCAGTGCAACACCTTCATATTGGCGTTCTTTGATCAGCTGTTTAACCAAAGCCTTCAGGTTTTCTCCGTGTTCCGTTGGTGGTGCCGGCTTATCAAAGCTAACTTCATCGTCATTTTCCTCAGACACTGAATTGCCAAGTTTCGTTTCTTCAGCCATTCTTTGCGAAATATTTTCGAAATTCGTTTTGTTTTATTAATTGGAATTGTTACTTTTAGAAAATGTTATAATTAATGCAAATTAATTTTGCAAATTTCACAAAACAGAAGAATGCCGTCTCTTTGTAATCTCAAACTGTCAGGCAAATGCCAATGCGTTATTGCCGCCGCACTCACGAATGAACACACGCACAAACACACACACACACACGAAAAGGGGTCAACAGCGGCATGCCGTTCTCTTATTGGGGAGCAACAACACTCTTTTATCCACCGCACTCACTCATTAATTTCCAATGCAAAACCACCATGACTTCAAATATTGTGAAATAGTTCTATTGCGTTTGTTGCTTTAAATGCTGTTCACTTTTATTTTACGCTATTTTCCATTACGCATATTTGTTAATTCACTTACTTTTATTATTTAACAATTTTTGTAATTTTATCATTTTATTTAGAGCGCTAAAATTGGCCATTTTTTCCTTTACTCCAGCACCACACAAAAACGAAACGTCTTTTTGCACTTGTAAATAAGAACTAAATAATATGAAGAGATAGAGAGAGGACAAGATAGCCAAAGAGTTTTTGTTTTGTTTATTAAAACGATTTAAGAGAGTAAACTAAACGGTCAAAGGTAGCTGCTGTCAAATCGATGCACAGTGCTGTTATTTAGTGTAGTGGGAGGCGTTCCAATTGGAAATGCGTGCCATATGATTGCTAATGAATAAACAGGGGGTTCACACATGGCGATTGTGAAACGCTTACTAAATATTTGAAGACATATTTATTTTTGTTATTTTGAGTTTAATACTAGTGTCAATATTATTTACAAAATAACGTGAGATGTGACTATCCGCAATGAAACGTCAATTTAAGGGGACCCCCCCATTCTCGGGGTCAAAATTTTTTTTGATTTAATTCGATTCTACACTAATTCAAGAATGTCTCCACAAAATTTCAAGTGAAAATCTCAAGAACTCTTGAAGATATAGCCGATCTATTGTGTCAGCATCAAATGACGGCTAAAGGGCTTCTCAAACTTTAAACGCGTTTTTCTCTTTTGCGAATGGCGGGCACGATAACTCAAAAACTAATAACCCAAACGATTCCAAAATTTTACACGATTCTCTGTGAGTGTATAGCTATCGTATGAACTAGGATAAAGCCAATCGGTGAAGATCTTCCTTATTTTTTTAACTTGGTTTTTGGTCAAAAATCGGCGATTTTTCAAAAATATTTTTTTCAAAAGTCCGCCATTTTGTTAATTTTAGAGCGAAGTCAATAATCCTAGTTCATACGAGAGCCAGACATGTACTCTTTCTAACACCGTTGGAATTTTCGGATTCCGATGTTCCAGCGAGGAGTTATCATGCCCGCCATAAAAAATAAGGATTTTTCTTTAATTACAATGTACAACAACAAAGCAATAACAAACATTTTTTGTAAATTATTTTTCTTCTCTTTTAAATCTTCAAATATATATGTGCAAAGTTACAAAACTTAACAAGCATTGGTATTGATTTACCTGCCCATTGAAAATCTTGAAAAATTAAAATCGAGAATGGATGGGGTTCCCTTAAACCAAAGGAATTATAAATTTTTTGTTTTAAATAATATGAGAAATAAATTCCATAAAATGTTATGTGTGCCGATTGGCATTTTTATTTTTTTAAAGCTGAACATGGCTCACGAGATTTAACCATGGTTATAACAACATATATATTTATACGTTTTAAAGGCAGGGATCTTCAAAAAATTTATAAATATAAATTATTTAGCAATTTTTGCCACTGAACACATGATATGCGTACATTTCGAAGGAAGATATTTTCATTTAAATTTTAAAAGCTGAAATTTAATAAAAAATTGGAAACATATGACTGCATGAGACTACCTTGTATAATTATGCCATGCCCACACCATGAGAATGAGAAAAAGATGATTGAAGTTATCAAAATATAATAAAACGGGGAAAATATACGCAACAAGTGTTTGTGTTTATTTGACATTTCTTCAAAACAAATCTAAAAACGCGAAAAATGAATGAAAGGTTACAATTTCTTTCCAAGATCCAGGGAATACCATCAAATGTTTGTTTCATCCATAACAAAGTAATTACTTCCAGACTAACATGTTAAAAACATAATTTTCATTTCAATTTATTTTGAATTTATTTGACATAGTATTCAAAACAATACACACACATACACAAAATATGTATTTTGATTTGATGGAACAAGCCACCTTAAGAAAAAGTTTTAATCAGTTTGTAGCTGTGCCCTACCTTGTAATTATTATACCATGGTACGGAAATGTGTTATACAATGAGAACTCAAAATACAAAATTACAGCCAAGTTGGTTGGAAAACTTATCCAAAATATCGAATACTGTGGATTACCATTATATGGGGGCTAACCTGAAACTGTGATCAATATTAACAACTCTTAGTACCGAGATATCAAATAACACCAAATTACAGTCAATTCGGTGAAAAAACTTGTCCATAATCCCAAAAATACAGAATATTAGAGGGCTCCGTTATATGGGGGCTACACCAAAACGTGGACCGATATATCCCATTTGCAGTACCAAACAAATGGGCTACGCGGCAACGAACATTTGTCAAGTTATGACATAAACACCGCTTAATATGTGTCAAAAAGTGGTAAAAATTGCCTCAAAAGGATCAATGCTTGCAACCAAGGTGTATTAAATAAGGTGTAAGTGACAATCATATGGTTTTAAACTTTTTTCTTTATTGTTTGTAAAGTAAATTGTCAAAAACATTTTCAACAATTAATTACGATTTACAAAAATTGAATTTAAATTTAGGAGTTTGATAGAAAAATATGTTCATAGAGAGGGACGAAAAGCAAACTTAGACTTAAATCAGTTTTAAACCTTTTCGCTGATTTGATCCAAAGTTTACGTTTTGTATCCCGTATTGAAATCTGTTCATAAATCCTAGCTACACGTACGTAGCCTATATTGGAATAGGCAGATTCCAAAAATCAATCCAAAGGTGAAAGTCTTTGATATTCTCCTATAGACAGATTGCACAAGGGCAACACAATTTCCTTGATTTAGTCTTTGGCCGGGGATTTACGTCCACCAAACTTCCATTAAGGAGGCGAAATTTGAAGGCAATTCTTCGAAAAAAATTGTAATTTACAATATAAGCAATATCACCAGGAACCAAGGGCTACACGTTGGAAACATTTCAAAATAATTCGTGACCGGGTCTTAAACTTAAAATTGCCAAAAATCCAAAAAAAAAACAAATTCCTAATTATTCTTCAAAGAAAAGTTCTTGACACAAATTAATAAACATAAATGGATAATTGTTTTTATTTATTTTTGTCAAAAACTAATTGTCAACATGACAATTTAATTTCTATAACAGCAATGTTGTTTTTGTAAAATGTTAGTTGTTGTAGCTGATGCATACACCTTATTAAATACACCTTGCTTGCAACAGTTCGAGTGTATGGCACTAAATTGATAATAGTTCCGTTCCAGAACCTGCAAAAATCTACAAATTTTACAAGTTTTGCCACATCTTACTTAAAACCCGTTTATGAACCCACAATTCTAGTAAATATATCAACAAAATTTAAGAGAACACAAAACGAAATGGCGTCTTCTTTGTAAACTTTTTACTCCAGAAATTTGGGCGAGTAAAAATGGTAAACAGGAATGCCAATTTCTGATTCGCTGTTGTGTTGATTTTGAAATATTGTCATGAAATATTAACTAGATTTCCGTTACCGAACTTTTCCAATCATTTTGTACTCTGAGATTTTGACATTGTTCCCTTTTACTAGCAGTACTTTTAAAAAAGTACTGGAACAAACCAAATGTTAACGTTTAAATTTTATAATAAAAAATGGGAAAAATTTGATTTCTAAAATACTCATGCAGGTTCTAAAACAGCAAATTAAATATATACAACTTTTTGAGTACGGAAACACATTCTAATGTGTATTTATGATTCTTTGTAAAGCATATTGAAGTGCTTTTTTGTAGTATATAATATCTTTTGTAGTATATCTTTTGTAGTATATCTTTTGTAGTATATAATATTGACAAAAATCACTTTTGTGTCCCTAGGGAACCGAATTCTCTACTTTAAAAAATATATTTTCATATTTAACACCTTATTTCTGTACAAAAATGACAACGGGTGAGAATTGATTAAATAAATATAATTGTTTTAAGGCGCAATTTAAAGTTGCCTTTTTTATTTTAGAAATAAAAAATTATGTCAAATTTTTACAAAATGGTCTTAATACGATAAAACCTTCTTGTTTTTTATTTAATTTTTATTAATTTTTTTAAACAATATGACTTGACGACTGTGTAGACAATTTCTTCTAATTTTTCAAAGTGTATTTTATGTTCAACAAGTACTTGGTAATCACTAATTGGTTTTCCCAAAAAATTTTGTTGTTTAATTATTAATATTTAATAAATGATTTTGTAATTATTTTTTTTTTACGAATGAACATTTTAAAGTAAATTATAAATATTACAATACTTAAGAAACTGATAAAATTTATTTATTTTTTCAATTGTAAACAAAACAAAGTGATTATTGGCCTTGACGCCGTTGCCTATACGAACACAACGCCGTTGAACTCCGATGACAGCTTCAACAAATGTAACAGTCGTTCAGCAACCATCGAATAGAGTACTCGTACTCGCGGAGTCGGAATTTGTTTTGTTACGTTGCCCCGCCGCTCAGTCAAAGAGAATAGGAAGTCAGTGAGAGTTATAATTTGCATTGATTGTGGAGAAGTTTTCAGTGTTGAAGAAGTGCAAAATATTTATCTTTTTAAATTAAATTTTATGAAAGAAAACAAAGTTAAAATTGGAAATAATTGTCGGCTACAAAATATATAAAGTTTTTCCTGTGTGTGTCTGTCAGATTTATGAAAAATTTATTCAATGTTTTATTCATTGGAAAATAATATTAATTCAAGTGTGGAGAAAATCTCATTGTGTTATTTACTTTTCCCCCCTTGTTTGGTATATTCTTAACTCTCCGGTTGAATTAAGTTAGTGGTGTGTTGTTCTTGTGTGACAGGAAGAAAAAGAGAGTGAACGAGCGAGAGAAAAGTGCGTGCTGTTTACGAGAGGGTGGAATAGGAATTGCGGGGGAAAATTACTTGGCGGAGAAGTAGAAAATTTTTACTGAAACACCAAATAGCGCCTGTAACGCGAAGAAGAAGAATAAAATGGTCAATTAGTGAAGTTGCGAATAAAAAGAAGTACACAAAATTCCCAGTTGCAACACATATATTTTTATTTATTTGTGGTCAAAATGGCTTAAAGTGCAAAAGAAGTGAATAAATAGAAAAGTAAATAATAAACAAACAAAAAACCCCATTTGAAATTGGATACAAACAAAACGAACGGGGAGTAGAAAAAATAGAAACATTTTATTTGTTTGCTTGCTGCAGCTCGGGGCGGCGGCTGCTGCAATTGGAAAACGATATTGTTGGTTTTTGATGTTGTTGTTGTTG